GGTTTGGAACTGGACCCTCCCCCCCTGGATTGAAGGGGGGGGTTCATCCTCCCCCCCCCGTGCCGTGACGGGGGGAGGGTGTTTCGACCCCCCCCCTGCTCCTCTCTCCTTCTCCTCGGTCCGGCGCCGGCGTCGGCGGCGGCTGGTGGCGGCGGCGGGGAGCGTCGATGAAGAGGACGTTTTCCTTTTCTGGGCCGGCGCCCGCGTCTACGGCGGCTGGCGGCAGCGGCGGTGAGCGTCGACGAAGACGACGGCGACGACGATGACGACGACGACGACGCTCCGCCACCGTGCCCTGCTTTTGGGTCAGAGTCCCAATGGATGCCTTGTCAGTTCTCGTCGGAGGGCTCTCGGGGGCCTCTGAAGGGCATTCGTGAAGCCTTCTGGGCGCCTCTTGGGCGTCTCTGAGGACCTCTCTGAGGTTGTGGTGGTGTGGTGGTGGTTGTGGCCGTGGTGGTGGTGGTGGTGGTGGTGTGGTGGTTGGTGGTGGTGGTGTTGGTGGTAGTGGTTGTTGTGGTGGTTGTGGTGGCAGGTTGTGGTGGTGGTGGTGGTGGCGGTGGTGGTGGTTTGTGGTGGTGGTGGTGTGGTGGTTTCTGGTGGTGGTGGTGGTAGTTGTGGTGGTGGTGGGTTGTGGTTGTGGTGGTGTTGGCGGTGGTGGTGGTGGTGGTTTGTCGTTGTGGTTGTGGTGGTGGTGGTGGTTGTTGTGGTGGTGGGTTGTGGTGCTGGTGGTGGCGGTGGTGGTTGTTGTGGTGGTGGTGGTGGTTGTGTCGGTAGTGGGTGGTGGTGGTGGTGGTGGTGGTTGTGGTGGTGTGTGGTTTTGTGGGTTGTGGTGGCTGTGGTGGGTTGTGGTGGTGGCGGTGGTGGCGGTGGCGGTGGTGGCTGTGGTGTGGTGGTTTGTGGTCGTGGTGGTGTTGGCGATGGTGGTGGTGGTGGTGGTTTTAGGAGGTGATACTGGTGGTGGTGGTGGCGGTGGTGGTGGGGTGGGGTGGTGTGGTGGTTTGTGGTGGTTTGTGGTGGTGGTGGTGGTGATGGTAGGTTGTTCTGGTGGTGAAGTGGTGGTTGTGGCTGTGGTGGTGGTGGTGGTGTGGTGGTTTGCGGTGGTGATGGTGGTGGTGGTGGTGATGGTTGTGTGGTGGTTTGTGGTGGTGTTGTGTGGTGGTGGTGGTGGTGGTGGTGGTGGTGTTGGGTTGTGCTGCTGGTAGTGGTGGCGGTGGTTGTGGCGGTCGTGGTGGTGTGGATTGCGCTGGTGGCGGTAGTAGTGGTGGGTTGTTGTGGTGGTGGTGGTGGGTTGTTGTGGTGGCGGTGGTAGTGGTGGTGGCGGTGGTAGTGGTTGTGTTGGTGGCGTGGTGGTTTGTGGTGGTGGTCGTGGTGGTGGTCTGTGTTGTTTGTGGTGGTGGTGGTGGTGCTGGTGGTGGTGGTGCTGCTGTAGGTGTGGTGGTGGGTGGTGGTGGTGGTGGTGGTTGTGGCGGTGGTGGTGGTGTGGTGGTTCGTGGTGGTGGTGGTGGGTTTTGGTGGTAGTGGTGGTGGGTTGTGGTGGTTTTGGTGGTGGTGGTGGCGGCGGTGGTGGTGGTGATGTGGTGGTTTGTGGCTCTGTTGGTGGTGGTGGTGTGGCCTTCGGGTCTTCTCGCCACCGTGTTTTGGCTGTGGGTCAAAGTTCGAATGGATGCCTCTTGGGGTTTCGTCAGAGGGGTTTCGGGGGCGTCTTAGGAGCACTTCTGAAGCCTCCTAGACTTTCCTAAGGGCCTGTCGGTGGCTTTTGGGGGACGAGGGCTAGATATGGCGATTTGTGTTTCCCCTCTGCGGCCACTTGGCCCTCTCTGGTCATCGTCGCTGCTGGCCGCCGCCACCGCTGGCGCTGGCGCAGGCGCGAAGGGGGGGGGAGGGGTTTGGAACCCCCCTGAGCCTTCTCTGGTCATCGGAGTCCCCCTGGTTTGAAAGAGCGTGTTCTATTGCTGCTAGCTGAAAACCGGGGGTGGTCACTGGGGGTTCCCAACCACCCCCCAAAAAAAAATCCGGGGGGGGGGTCACTACTGGTTTGAACCCCTCGTCCCCCCCCCAGCCCATCAGTCATGAAAAGGGGGGCGGTCACTACCGGTTCGAACACCCCCCCTCGCCTTCCGCAAACGATTCCCGCTCCTAGGGACAGTGGGACACTGGTGGGGACATTGGGACAGTGGTGGGGACGGTGGTAGTGGGGACAGTGGTGTGGGGACAGTGCGGCTGTGGTGGGGACAGTGGGGACAGTGGGACAGTGGTGGGGACAGTGGTGGTGGGGACAATGGTGAGGGACAGTGGGACAGCGGTGGGGACAGAGGGACGGTGGTGGGGACGGTAGTGATTGGGACATTGGTGATGGCGGTGGTGAGGGCGTCGGTGGGACAATGGGACAGTGGCGGGGACAGTGGGACAGCACAGTGGGACAGCGGTGGGGACAGTGGGATTGTGGTGGGGACAGTGGGGACAATGGGACAGTGGTGAGGACAGCGGGGAAAATGGAGAGAGTCGGACCGTGGTGGTGACAGTGGTGAGGACTGGGGACAGTGAGACACTGCTGGGGGCACTGGTGGGGACAGTGGGGACAATGGTGGGAAAAGTGGGGACAGTGGGACAGTGGTGGGGACAGTGGGACAGTGGTGGGGACGGTGGTGGTGGGGAGAGTGGGGACAGTGGTGGGGACAGTGGGAGAGTGGTGTGGACGGTTGTGGCGTTGGGGACAGTTGTGAGGGCGGTGGTGAGGACGGTGGTGGGACAATGGGACAATGGTACAGTGGGGACAGTGGTGGGGACAGTGGGGAGTGGTGGGAACAGTGGGGCAGCTCAGTGGGACAGCGGCGGGTACAGTGGGGACAGTGTGACACTGGTGGGGACAGTGGGGACTGGTGGGGACGTTGGGGAGGGTGGTGGGAACAGTGGTGGGGACTGGGGACAGTTCGACAGTGGTGGGGGCACTGGTGGGGACAGTGGGGACAGTGGTGGGAGCCGTTGGGACAGTTGGGCAATGGTGGTGGGGACGGTGGTGCTGGGAACAGCGGGTGAGGGCGGTGGTGAGGACGGTGGTGGGGACCCGGGAGTCGTTTGCCGGCGGTGAGTGGGGGCGGGGGTGGTGGTGGTGGGGGTTCGAGCCAGTAGTGACCCCTTCGTTTTCTGGAGGGGGGGGTTCGAACCCGTAGTGACCCCCCCCCCCGGTTTTTCGCAGGGGGGGGAGGTTGGGGGCGAAGGGGGTTTTGCGGGGGGGGGGTTCGAGCAGGGGGGGGTTTGGAGGGCGTGGGGGGACCCCCGGGTTCCAGAGGAAGAGGAGGTGGAATTTTCCACAGTGAAGTGGCGGTGGATCACGCGCTCTCCTTGGTTTCGATTGACGGCCCCCCCCTGGTTCGAAACTTGCCGCCGAATGTTCCCAAGGCAAGCGCCCGTGAAACGCGCTCTCTCTGATCTTAGCAGATCTGTTTTCCAGTGATCCGTTGCACAGAGACGGCACGATGTCCACGCGCGTTCACATGTCGACATTATGTCAAGCAGCATTTTTGCAACCATGTCTGTCTTGTAACATCAACACCCAAGAGTTTTTTTAAACACGGATCTCGCAGTTTTTCGGCCCGCGGCGCGCATTTACTGAAATCATGGAAGGTCATATGATTTCAGCAATCCCGTCCAGAACCCGCACTCTCATCACACCACGCGGGGCATCCGCGTTAATCTGGCATTCGCCCACTGTGCGAATGCGTATCAAAGAATACCATGCGGGCTTCACGCGTGCTCCGCCACGCGCGCGTGCCGACATTGTCAAAAACAAACGGAGTACGAAGCATTTCAAGCTATAGTTCGTCAAACACAGATTTCAAACCATGCGTTTCGCAGCAGAACGTCTGACAGGTTTCTTGCATTTCTGTGAACGCACTTCCTCAGCATCACCCTCACCAGTGCCACCACATCACTGCCGGTATTTTTTTCGGAAATCGCCGCCATTGCCACCATCACCAGTCAATGGCTCCATCATCGGACACGTTGACATCAGCGTCGCCGTCGTCGTCACCAGCATCCGTGCTGTCAATGGCCTTGCTGTCGTCATCGTCGTCATCGCCACCATGTTTGCGACTATCATCATCTTTGCCATCATCGTCGACGCCATCATGATACCGCTTCCGCCCGAGTCACCGATCCTCACTGGAGTGTCCGCGCGCCAGCGATCCCTTTGAGACGTGCTGGGAAGTTCCCCCGGGTAAGCGGCATCGCGGCCGCGTCGGTTGTTCCAGCCAGCTGGTCGCTCTGCGCGCGAGCTTGTGCGCACTTGCGCAGCCGCAGAGATGCGACAGCTATTGCCAAGTAGTCACCAGAATCGCAGCCGCATGGGTTGTGCAAGCCAAGTAGCGGGTGGGAGGGTGGGGTGGTTGCGCGAGCAGGGAGTTGACGACTTCAGTCTGTTCAAGGTGGATTGCAGCACATGCGTTGCACCACGTATATTTCGTTACGTAGACACCATCATACATTGCGCCATATGCGTTGCATTCAGCATAATGCCCTACATGGTTTGCCCACACATGTATTGCATCCCACACACTGCACCACACCATAATTGCACCACATAGGTATAAACACGTATATCCAACATAGGTGTAGTACAACGCATTTTTTGCAGCACACACGTTGCACCACAACTATTGCACGTCGAGGGTTGAATAACCCACTATCAGGGGTCCCCCTGACAATCATTCATTCAGTGCAGCACCCAGACCCCTGAATCACCATGTTCAGCAGGTCACGACCCATGGCTTTGCTACTTGGTAAAAAGGTAACTGACACGTGTACGGAGATTCTGTGCGACACTTGCGCAATGCTTTTTCCAAGCGCTGGTGCGGCAGAGAGGACATTGGATGGCCTGCGAGCCCAATTCTGGAGCCGCAGCGAACGAGGTCGATTTCTTCTGGCGGGCTTCGCCGGGGGGTTTTCATCTCTTGCGATGTCTGCCAACCTCTGCTACTGGGGATCCTCGTGCAGACTGTGAGCGACAGGGCCAGTTCGACAGCGTCCCCCTGCCCGATGGCGTCGTCCTGAGGCTCGATGGCTCTTGCGCCTGCCTTGCCCCCTGCCGCCATCACAGCAGAGGGGGTCGCAGTGATGGAACGGTGCGGTATGAGGGGTAGCGGTGGGAGGGGATGGGCGGGTATAGGATTGGGATGGAGAGCGTTTGCGTGCATCTCGTTCCTTGCAGGAATTTCGGCCGAGGAGGAGCGAGGAGGTGTGGAAAGGAGGGGTGCAGGAGGAGTTGCGGGGCAGGGGGGAAGAGTAGAGGCGAGAGGGGAGGAAGGATTGGGGGAGGAGGGAGGAAGGGAAAGGAACGGCAGTGTTGGGAAGGGGAGGGAGGACACGGCAGGCCGATATGGGCAGGCGATCGCAAACATGGATCAAGGGGTCGTGGATTGGCGACGGGTCCCGTTTCCATGGGAAATCGCGAATTTCTGCCGCCGAGCGAGGCGGCACCGGCCGCATTTTGGGGAGAGCACCTCCCCCGATCCATGTCTGCGCGCCCCCGATGTGGGGAGGGGGAGACGGGATGGGACTGGGTACGCCGAGGCCAAGTTCCCCGTCGGGAAGCCGCAATCTGTAGCTTTGCACATGCTTGTTCGTCGCCTGTCGAAGCCGCCGTTTGCAGCGACGATGGGGCACTCGAGTCATGGGCTGGGCGCCGAGAAAGGGGCCGCCCCCGCCACTCGTGGGCGAGGCAAGTGTACAAGCTGTCTCAGCCTGCGTAGGGCGCTCCCCTTTTCCCTTCTTCCCCCTTTCTTTCTCCTCCCTCCTCCATGGATTCTGCAGTCATGCTGCGCACCGGTCTTCTGATTCTCTGTTGTGGGGCGCTCCGTTTTTCTGCTTCACAGTCGTGATGCGCTGTGTTATTCTGCGTCAGTGTCGTGCGGCGTTCAGCTTCTGCTTCGCAGTCGAGTCTCTGTGTGCACGCAGTCGATCTGCAACGTTTCCTTGTCATCCTCCTGAAGAGTTGCCAACGGCGCACTCTTCTGCCCACGTGCCCGTCTGGATGCTCGGCTCACCACGGAAAGCATTGTCTCGTTCACTCGCACCCGCCATCCCAGCACGCTTTTTCGATCTGCAGGGCGAGAGCGAACCTCTTCCGCTGAAAGCTAAGCGGGACGCGCACAGCTTTGATTAGCAGAGAAAGGCCATCCCGGCACACAAGTAACACCCGACACTCAGCATGAGCAGCGACTCGTCGTCCCATGCAGAGCCATGGATAACGAATCCAGGCGCCAGGCCCGCGCCTGGCGCTCGCCAGGCACACCCCTCGGGGGAAGGCCGCCGGAGGGCGGCGGCAGCGGAGCGGGGCCGGCCTCGACGGCAGAATTGGCGGAGCGGAGGCAGGAGGTGCCAACCCTTCTCTGGATTCGGGGCCTCCGGGCCAGGCCACGTGCCGCTGGCCTGGGGGGCATGCCGCCTCCTGTGACTCGCCGCCGGGCCTGCAGGCGTCACCCGGGGTCTGCGCGGGTCGTCGCCGTGGAGAGGGGAACGTTCGAAGGCACTCGCCCACCCTGCGAGGCGTGGCCACGCAAGCCGGGGTCAGGGCGGCTGCACGCCGGCGCAGCGATCGCCCGGCACTGGCCTCCACCCCCTCCAGCGTCGAGGCTGGGCGCCGCCACTGCAGCGGGGATCTGTGCGGGGATCTTCAGCATCGTCTGACCTATCCACATGCGCACTGGGCCACGGTGTGTCAGTCCCACCAGCCCGCCCACCTGGGTGGGGAGAGGCCCCGCGAAACCCGGAGGACAAAAAGGCACATACCCCACCTTACAGGGGTGAGTCGGCCAGTGTGGCCGAGGCCACGCCAGTGGGGATAGGGATCGGTTCAGCGATGCTCATGTCCGTGCTGCGGGCACCGGCCTGGCCAGGCGTGGAGCCGGCTACGGGGAGCGTGTGCGCGGTGCCTTCGTTCCCCTCGCGACCGCCCCCTCGTGAGTGTTGCTGTCGATCCCCTATGGGCGGATCCAGCTTCTTCACGATGCGTGAGCTGGCCCCGTCCGCGCGCTCTCCGCTCGACCTGCCCTGCGCCGCGCTGCCGCGCGCGTGGCCGCGACGCTAACAGTGTGCGCGGTTCGCGGTGCCGAGCCTCGGCCTGTGCTCTGCAGGGGTGTCGGCATCACCCAAACGTTTTGATAATGTGTGTGCGCTGGCCCCCAGGAGCGACGCGCGCGCCCAGAGCTCTCATAGTACATGCTTGGCGACGCGCGCTTTCTGGCCGTACCGCTAGGGTAACGCATATCATAACAAGTTCGTGCTTTCGGTTCGGACGTTCGCCTCCGAGGAGGGCGCATCGTATTAAAGTGTGTCCTTCTGCGTCCCAAGGGGGGGGGGGGGGCTGCTGTCGGGTGCAGGCGGGGCGGAAGGCACGGACGGGGCAGGCCACGAGTGGCGAGGTGGAGGACGAGGGCGAGGGCGAGGATGGAGGGGGGGGGATCTCCTTGAGGTCCGCTGCGCCACCCCGAGGCAGGGACATGGCCGTTCTGCGTGTGCCGCCGACGTCGCTGGACGTGGGAACGAGTTCTGTTTTTACCCGCAGCGCCAGCGTGTGCGGGTGCGGGGGCCGGGATCGCCGTGGCGCGCCGGGCGCGGGAGGACAAGCAGCGGGCGGCCGCGGAGGAGGAGGCACGAGCGCCGAGGATCGACGGGAGGAGTGAACAGAAGCAGACGAGCATGGAGAGACGGAGGGGCCCGGGGGTCGGAGACGTCGGCGGGGCCAGATGGCTGAAGAACGGGGCGCGCCCGCGCGAATCTCTCGGAGAGGCGCCGGGAGCCCTGGGCGCGCTCAGCGCCGATCCAGGAGGCCGCGCGGACCTCCGGGGAACAAGGGCGCCCTCGAGGGCGCGAAGCTGTTCGCGCTTTTCGCTTCGCCGTTCGGCTCTGGTCCCTCCTCATCCTCCCCTTCTCCCCTGGGAGGCGGCGCGAGAGAGCGCGAAGTTGTTCGCGATTCGCGCTTCACGCAGCGCGAAGCGCGAAGCTGGGAGCCCCTGGAGGAATTTTGGTTCGTGCAGGCTTCTGTTCCTCGAGGCCTCGAGGCGCGGGGGGGAGCGGGTGCAGCCCCTTGGGGCCGTTCGGCCCCCCGGAGGAACACCTTCCTCGACGTCCCCGACAGCCCGCGGGGCGGCTCGGGCGGCGAAGGCGAGCATAAGGCGCCCCGGGCTGGGTGACGAGTGCCCCCGCAAGAGGAGGAGGAGGAGGAGGAGGAGGAGGAGGAGGAGGAGGAGGAGGAGGAGGAGGAGGAGGACCCGTCGCTGTGCCAGCGTGCTCAACCGAGGCTCACCGGCGCACGGGCCTTCCAACACCCTCTCTTTCGCCCTTCGCCTCGCCCTCCCCCTCGCCCTCTCCCCTCGCCCCCCTCGCCCTCCCCTGTCCCCCTCCCCAATCCGCAGCTAGCAGCTGTAAAATCTGAGTGCCTACTCTACCGTCTCCCTTGATGCTGCCGCGCACGGTGGCGCCCCCCTTCCCGCGTATGTTCTTGTTCGATCACATAAGATGCCACAACCTGTTGTTGTTGAGAATGCTGCGATTGCTTTTATTTGTTGTTGCTGCTTTTGTTGTTGTGGTTGTGGTTGTGGTTGTGGTTGTGGTTGTAACTGTGGTTGTGGTTATGATTGTGGTTGTGGTTGTTGTTGTTCTCATTGTTGCTGTTGCTGTTGCCGTTGTTGCTGCTGATGCTTATGCTGTTATTGCTATTGTTGTTGTCGTTATTGCTGTTGTTGTAGTTGTTGCTGTTGCGGTTGTTGTTGTTGTTGTTGTTGTTGTTGTTGTTGTTGTTATTGTCGTTGTTGTAGTTGTTTCTGTTCTTATGGTAGTTGTCGTTGTTGCTGTGGTTGTTGTTGCTGCTGTTGTTGCTGTTGCTGTTGCTGCTGTTATGGTTGTTGTTTTCGATGTTTCCGTTGTTGCTGTTGTTGCTGTCGTTGTTGTAGGTGTTGCTGTCTTTGTAGTTGTGGTTGTTGTTGCTGCTGCTGTTGTCGTCGTCGTCGTTGTCGTCGTTGTTGTTGTTGTTCTTCTTCTTATTGTTGTTGTTGTTGTTCTTGTTGTTGTTGTTGTTGTTGTTGTTGTTGTTGTTGTTGTTGTTATTCTTGTTGTTGTGGTTGTTGTTGCTGCTGTTGTTGTTGTGGTTATTGTGGTGGTTGTTGTTGTTGTTGTTCTTGTTGTTGTTGTTGTTGTTGTTGTTGTTGTTGTTGTTGTTGTTGTTGTTGTTGAACATTATTAATTCTAAAGAATAATTATTGTTGGGCCCCCTGGTGCGCGCCCCCCCTGCGCCGCCTAGGCCGCAGCTACATTTTCATCATTTTCGTGAGGAAGCCTCAGGTAAAACGATGTGATCCAGATCCGGTTGTTTTGTTGTAATCCGTTTTCCCTTGCAAAAAACACTATAAAATGACATTTCTTGTTCTAATATAATCAAATTTCAAGAATCCCTTGCAAAAAATAAGGTAAAGTGGACATTCGCGCGCGCAAGACGAAATCCTTCCAAAAGCTTAGTGTTCGGAGCGATTTTAACATAAAAACATCAAAAAACCAATGGTTTTTCAACAAAAAAATGTCAAAATCTCATCCCGCGCGCTCTTGCGGATTCGTAGGAAACCCAACACTTTTTAAACATTTCTGTCAAACGGGCTTTTGCGAGCAACTTTTTCGAACTTCTGCGACAACGGTTGCGCACCTGCCAGGGCCATCATCCCTGTCAAATAATACCATGCGGGACACATTCGTTTTTTCTTCGCGCGCGCACGCCGAAATCTCCAAAAACCATTGGGTTTTTAAGAATTTTAGCACCGCGCATCATAAAATCACACGAATCGCACCGTAGGTCCTCGAAAAACACCTGCACGACTTTTCAAAATTTCTACCCGCGCGCGCTGTCCGAATCTAAAAAAAAACAATGGTTTTTTTCCAAAAACCAGTATAGGTGTCCAGTGTTGGAACAGGGGGAAAAGTCGTATACTAAGCTAGCGTCCAGAAAATGTTACCACAACAAGTCACTGTACCCATGCGCCAGTGTAGTAGCCACGGTCGTCCGCAGGCCACGAAGTGAAGTGTCCGAACGTCATAGGGCGGGAAGCTGGGTGTGGGTGGTGGCGAAGAGTCGTTTGGAAATGTGGTAGAGCTTGAACCGGCCCCCCCACAAAGTGGGGGTATTGGCGGGCGTCGTATGAAAACCCTGGCACTGGTGAGAACACTGAGCGTTCGGGTAAAGTGATAGTTGTTGTTGTTGTTGTTAGTATCGTTGTTGCTGTGTTGTTGTGGTGGTTGTTGTAGGTCTTGAGTTTTCATTTCTAAAACATAATTGTTGTAGATCCCCTTCTCCCGTAACCATCATGTTTTTTTTTTTTTTCAATTCGTGTGCTTCTCATGGGGTCCATACCCTGTTTTTCAGAAGGCAAAGTGGGGTGTCACAAAACTGTACCCCGGGCTCCTGGTTTACAGCAGCAACGGCTCCCGCTTGATGTTTCCTCATACTTTATTCCAAGTTCGCGCTCCTGCGCGGGATTTCGTAACAATTTGTGCAGGAATCGCGCTCTTGCGTGGGACTTCCTCGGAATTGGTTGAGGCGCCGCGCCCTCGACACTCAGGAATCAAACTCTCGCTGTGGATTTTCTCACGATTTATTTGGGAGTCGCGCCATCGTTCGAGACTTCCTCGCGATTCATGCAGGACCCACGCACCAGCAACCCGCCTGCTGGACCGGGCCGCCTGGGTCCACCTTCCTGACCCGCCCGTTAGGGTCTACCCGCCCGATCTGCCCGTCTGGTTCTGCCAGTGCTTTCTGCTCCTAGACCCTGTCCTGCTACTTTCTCTGATACTCCATCCTGCCTACTCCTTGTCTTCTCCGTCCGTTCTTTCTTCCCCTGCCTCAGGGGCTGCACGGCATACGCGTTGCAGGTAAGAAAGTTGTACCCCCTAAGGGGGTACGATCGGGGACGAATAGGGTGGGTATCGAAGGCTTGGGATATACGTATTGAATGTCACGCGATCCGACAATAGCGAACAGGCTTAAAACGCTTGTTGTTGAGATTGTTGTTGTTGGTGCTGCTGCTGTTCTTACTGTTGCTGCTGCTTGTGCTCCCAGCCCCGGTTCTGCCAATCCCATGTTCAATCCTTCTCCCACCCCCTTCCATCCGTCCTCTCTCCCCTTGTGTTAGGGGCTGCGCCAACTGCACTCGGCAGATAGGGAAGACATTCCCCCAAGGGGGAAGCGATCAAAGACGCAGAGGGCGGGCATCGAGGGTTTGGGATATCCGTGTATGATGGCACGCGAGCGGATGAAAGAGAACAGTCTTAGCATTCTCATTATTATTGTTGTTGCTGCTGTTGCTGCTGCTGTTAATGTTGTTGTCGTGGTTGTTGTTGTGGTTGTTGTTGTTTTCATTTCTAAAGACTAGTTCTGGTTGATCCCCTGTCTGGGCCGCATTCGGTTTTTCAATTGAAGTGCCCTTCCCGGGGCTCGCACCCGGTTTTTTATCAGGGAAAGTCTTGAGGCTCAGAATTGCGTTGTTGGCCCCCGGTTTACAACAACAGCGGCTCCCACCTGATACTTCCTTACACTTTATTCCCCAGTCGCGCTCTCGCGGGACTTCTCAAAATATGTGCAGGAATCGCGCTCTCGCGTGAGACTTCCTTGCAATTAATTGAGGCGCCGCGCCCTCCTCTCATGAATGACGCGCTCGCTATGGATTTCCTAACGATTTATTTGTGAATCGCGCCATCGCGCGAGACTTCCTCGCGATTCATGCAGGACGCACGCTTCAGCAACCCGCTTGGTCGACTGGGCCGCCTGGGCCCGCCTTCCCGACCCGCCCGTCAGGGTCTATCCGCCCGATCTGCCCGTCTGGTTCTGCCACGTGTTTCTGCTTCTGGCCCCCTCCTGCTACTTATATATATATATATATATATATATATATACACACATGTAGACATACCCCCATGGGGGTACAATCGAAGACGAACAAGGCGGGTATCGAGGGTTTGGGATATACGTGTTGAATGGCACGCGAGCAGATAAGAGCGAACAGTCATCTTCTGCGTTTTCTGATTCTTATTTTTTTCTTATTCTTTTGTATCCGTTTATCACTTTTTTTGTTTTTCGTATTCTTACTGTTTGTATGACTCTTATTTTTCTTGTTGCTGTTGATGCTGGACGCGCTCATTCTTGATGACTTAATCCAGTATTGTTGAACCCCCCACCGGTCCACACTGTTTTTTCCATTAAAGGGCCCCCCTAGGGGCTCGCACCCTGTTTGTTTATCAGAGAAAGTCTTCCTGCTCAAAGCGCTGTTGGGCCCCGAACTACACCACAGCGGCTCCCGCCTGATACTTCCTCACAATTTATTTCAAAATCGCGCTCTCGTGCGGGACGTCCTCGCAATGAATGCAGGAATCGCGCTTTCGCGTGGGAATCCCTCGCTATTTATTCAGACGCCGCGCCCTCGACACTCAGGAATCAAGCTGTCCATTTGGCCTTTCCCAGGATTTACTTGGGAATCGCGCTATCGCTCGAGAGCGCCTCGCGATTCATTTAGGATTTACTTTTTAGCACCCCGCCTGCTCGACCTGGCCGCCTGGGCACACCCTTTCGACCCGCCCGCTAGGGTCTGTCCGCCCGATCTGCCCGTCTGGTTCTACCACGTGTTTTCTGTTCGTAGCTCGGGGGCGGAAAAGAGGGGGGTGATGACTAGGGGGGGGTGGATATCATGGCGCGGGCCATGATATTTCCCCAGATCTCATGGCGCCTCTTCTTATTTCATTACGTCCCAGGCCCCCCCGCTGGGCCGCGCACATGCCGCCGGTCATGATTTGCACCCCCCCCTCTTGGACACCCCCCTCTTTGCCGTCCCCGAGTAGCCCCCGTCCTGCTAATCTCTCTCCTGCTCCATCCTTTCAATCCGTCTTCTCTTCTCTTCCCTTGTTTTAAGGGCTGCACTCAATGCGCGTGGCAGGTAAGGAAGATCTGCCCCCAAGGGGGTACGATTGAAGGCGAAGAGGGCGGGTATCGAGGGTTTGGGATATACGTGCTGAACGGCACGCGAGTATATAGGAACTATCAGCCAAACTTGTTGTTGTTGCTGTTGCTTTTGCTGTTGTGGTTGTGCTGTTGCTGCTGTCATTGTTGTTGTTGCTGCTGCTGTTGCTGTTATTGCTGTTGTTGCTGTTGTCGTTAATCTTGTCGTGATTGTCGATGTTATGATTGATGTTGTTGTGGTTGCTGTTGTTGCTACTGATGTTGTTGTTATGGTTGTTGTGGCTGTTGTTGTTGATTATTGTCGGTGTCGTGATTGCTGTTGTTGATCTTGTTGTCGGTGTTGTGGTTGTCATTGTTGTTGTTGTTGCTGTAGTAGTAGTAGTAGTAGTAGTAGTTGCTGTTGCTGTTGCTGTTGCTGTTGCTGTTGCTGTTGTTGTTGTTGTGGTTGTTGTTTTGTTGTTGTTGTGGTTGTTGTGGTTGTTGTTGTTGTTGTTGTTGTTGTTGTTATTGTTGTTGTTGTTGTTGTTGCTGCTGCTGTTGTTGTTGTTGTTGTTGTTGGTTGCTGTTGTTGTTGTTATTGTTGTTGCTGTTGTTGTTTCTGCTGTTATGGTTGTTGTGTGTTTTTTGTTGTTTTTGTTGTTCTTGTGGTTTTTGTTGTGTTTGTTGTTGTGATTGCTGATGTTGCTTTTCATTTTACCTCGATTTATTCTTTCAATCGGATCGTTCTCGCTCACTCAAAGTGATGCTCCCGCTGCAGCGCTGGCAGCACCCTCAAATGTCCATGGCGCTCCCCTCCAAATGGGTGAGACTCGCCGCATCGCTGGTCGTCGTCGTATTCGTCTTCCGCACGCTCTTCATCCTGTATGTCGTGCTGCTCCTCCCCTCTCTCCTTCGGCTCCTGATCATGTGCTGTCGTCGTCGTTCTGCCTGGCACTTCGTTTGCGTTCTTCGCCGTCCGGATGGTTGCCATGGTTTTGATGCAACCGATGTGCCCCGCAGGGGATTACCATTTCCCATTCAGGCGGTCCTAAGGGTCTCACTTGCTATGCTCATGTGCACGCAGTCTGGGCTTCGTTGTCAAGCGGGCTCCTCCCGGCCTGGGCTCCAGATACCCGCGCGAATGCTATTTAGATGGTGCTGCTCTGTGACATGCTGTGTGGTACCGTGCTGCTGTGCGCGGTGATCTGCTAGGCTGTGCCGTGCGGCGCCATGGTACGCTGTGCTCTGTCGGTTATGTGTCGCCAGAGTGTGCTGTGCAGTGCTACATTCGGATGTCCAATGCTATTTAGTGACACGTCGTTCATGCTATGCGCTGCTCGGTGTTGTCCTTGTATGCCACGCTATGCTTTACTATGGGAACATATTTAGGGCGCGCTGCCGTGTCATGACACGGTGCTGCACTACGCTTCCTCTTGCGCGGCATCCTACTGCGTTGCGCCCAGTGCGTGGCGCCATCGTAGAGAGCATACTCTGCTCGGTGTTGCGCCGAATTGCGTGCGAAGGATTCCTGCGGGTGCTGGCCAGCTCGCGTCGCGCCCGCAATGCCCGTGCTCGTCGTGCTCCTGCCCTCAGGGGCCGTGGCGGTATTGGGGGCTTCTTGGGGCATCTTGGGTGCCTCTCCTCCTCCTCCTCCTCCTCCTCCTCCTCCTCCTCCTCCTCCTCCTCCTCCCGCTCCTTCTCCTCCTGCTCCTTCTCCTCCTGCTCCTGCTCCTGCTCCTCCTCCTCCTCCTCCTCCTCCTCGTCCTCCTCCTCGGGGCCTTTTTGGGCGTCTTTGGGGCCTCGTGAGGTCTCTTGGAGCATCTCGGAGGCCTCTGCGCTCCCTGCCCGCCCGGTCGTGGAGTTCTTCCCCGCTGTCCTCTTCCCCTTGCTTCTCCTCGTTCTTCGTGTTTTTTTTTTTTTTTTTTTTTTTTTTATACATATATATATACACACTCTCTCTCTCTCGGAGGAGGAGGCGGAGGAGGAGAACGGGGAGGGGGACGGGGGGAGGGGGAGGGGGAGGGGGGAGGGGGGGAGAGGAGGAAGGAGGAGGAGGAGGAGGAGGAGGAGGAGGAGGAGGAGGAGGAGGAGGAGGAGGAGGAGGAGGAGGAGGAGGAGGAGGAGGAGGAGAGGAGGAGGAGGAGGAGGAGGAGAGGAAGAGGAAGAGGAAGAGGAAGAGGAAGAGGAAGAGGAAGAGGGGGAGGAGGAGGAGGAGGAGGAGGAGGCGGTCCGTCCTTCCTTTCACTATTCGTCGTCGTCTTCGGCTCGACCTCCCTCCCCCCCTCCGTCCCGGCTCCTCTCTGCCCTCCTCTCGGCTGGATCCTCTTCCTCCTCCCTCGTGCCCCTCCCGGCTCCCTTGCGCTTCCGTCGTGCGCTCCCAGCGGTGCCTTTCCGAGGCCTTCTTCGCCACTGGATTCTGCGAGGAGGGGGTTCAGCGCAACGGTAAGCGAGGAGGGAGATCAGTCGGAGGTCAGATATGGCGCGAGCGCGCCTATCTTGTCCGCCCCTTCTCAGCCCTCCCATCCCTCCCCGTACCATCGTGTCTCCTCCCCCTCCCTTCTTCCCCCCGCACCCCGATTCCGTAAGCAGGCTCCCCCACTTGGTGAGGATATGGTGTAACTATGCGGACGCCATGACAGTCGACAGCAGCGACCGCTCCTTGTAATTATTCCCTGCGCATCCGAACGACTCCGTGTGTCGTTCCAAGCAGCGATGCGCATCTGGTAGGGGAGGGCCAGATTGCCGCTTTTGGGCTCGTGCGTCCCAAAATCTGTTCTCCATTCCGAAGTTGCACACGGCGCGGTAAACATGTAGCAGTAGCTGTCTGCCATTGCAGTCGTTAGAGCGCATGCTTTGCGGATACGTGCGCATGCGACCATTGCTCTAGCTGTTCTCTGTCACTGCAGGTGGGGGCGGCTTTGTGAAATGAAATCCACCGATCCTCAGCCGTTGGGTCAGCTGGCAAACACTCTTTGGCACTTCGCATACTGGGGTCCCAATCCATGTGCGCCACCCTTGGATCAATCCAGTGATGGGCGTCATGCGGCTATGTCTTGCTCCTTCGACTACTTGCAGGTGCGTCGGACTGAACACAGGAATGAACACACCGCATCGCGGTTTCTCAAGCGACCAGGGGCGCCTGGGAACGCATCTGTTCAGCAGAGTTTTTTCGGTGCCACTTGAGACCAGCGTCTGAGTTTGCACTTGTACGGGTCGCAGCGCACGGCAACATCCTCGTGAGTTGCCACCGCTCCAGGGAGGAGTGAGAAGGGGCGAGCACGGAAGAGCAGGGACGTGGAGAAGGAGGTTGAGAGGGAGAAGGAGTAGGAGGAGGGATGCGAGGAGGTCGATGATGCCGATGATGAGGAGGAGGGAGGCGAGGCTGTGGATGAGCAAGAGGGCTCTCCATCGGCGGGGGAGGAGAAGGAGGAGGAGGAGGAGAAGATGGAGGAGAAGGAGAGAGGACGGACCAATGCCTCTGCTGTGCAGTCCAAGATACCTCCCCACAGCGCAGCCCATCAGCGCCGAGACACCCGCTGATGCCTCCGCGTCAGCGGGGGCACCAGCGGAGGCATCCGCGGGCGTGGGGGAAGACGGTGAGCTGCGAGTGGGGAAGGTGAGGGGGGGAAGGCCGCTGATGCCCCCCCCTCCAGCGCAACCCACCTCAGGCGATCGCGAAGATGGATCAAAGGGGCGTGGATTAGCGACGGGTCCCGTTTCCATGTGAGACCGCGGATTTCCGCCGTCGAGCGAGGCGGCACCGGCCGCATTTTGGGGAGGGCGCCGCCCCGATCCGTGGATTTGGCGACCGCGCGCCCACTCCGTGGATCGCTAATCCATGCCTGCGCGCCCCCGACCACCCGCGCTCAGAGGCCCGCTTCCGCACCTGCCCGGAGCTGAACAGGGAGGAGCCCCCGTCGCCGGAGTCAGGCCCGGGCGCCAGCGAACGCCACTGCCGTACTGCTGCTGCTGCTGCTGCTGCTGCTGCTGCTGCTGCTGCTGCTGCTGCTGCTCCTCGAGCCGCTGCTCTGCCCTCCTGCTCCTCATCCTCCTCCTCCTCTGCGCTGCTCCTCCTCCCTCCTCCTCCTCCCCCTCCCCCTCCTCCTCCTCCTCCTCCTTCTCCTCCTCCTCCTCCTCCTCCCCGCTCTCTCCAGCCTCGGTCCCTTTCGCCGCTCCTCGTCCCTGCCTCCCGTCTCCCCGTCGCCCTCCCTTCCTTCGCCGAGCGCGTTCCACTACGCGCAAAGTGCCTACTCGCAAACGTCCGACAAAAACCAATGTCTGCCTCCATGGAGTGGATGGTAAGTCCTCCGCGGCGGATCCAGACCATTTGCGAGTAGTTATCCCTAAGGGCTTCGCCCCCTGCCGCTGGCCCCCTCTCTATTAGAATGGAATGCATCAGAGTCGCGTCGGTGCGTCTCGGCGCTGCCTTGGCGCATCTGGGAACATCATGCGGGAGCGGATAGGAATCATCAGCGCATATTGAGACGTTGGCGTTATCCTAGTGGCCTTCGGCCCATCCCCCAACCAGGTTTGAGGCCTCTTGTATATGTGTTGGGGTGTCGTGGCGAGCCTCTCGGGGTCCTCTTGGAGTCGATTTCGGCGCCTTTTGGGGGTATCTTTTGGGCCTCTTGGAGGCCTCTTTGGCACGTCTTGGGCGCCTCTTGGGGCCTCTTGGGGCCTCTTGGGGCCTCCTGGGGGCTTCTCGGGGCTTCTCGGAGCGCTTCTTGGACCATCTTGGAGCCCTCTCGGGCCGTCTCGGGGCCCTCTTGGAGGCGTCTTGGGCTGTCTTGGGGAGCTTCTTGAGCCATCTTGGAGCGTCGAAACATCGAACATGCGAGAACCCCAAACTCCTTCAAAACCGCGTGTAAAATCGACGATGTTGACCTTTTGGGGCTCTCTCGGGAGGCCTCCTGGAGCGCGGGGCCTCTTTTGCCCTCTTGGCCCGTCCTGGAACCATCCTCGGGCGCCTTGGAGCACTCTTTGGCCTCGGCAATACGAACATGGCGTAACTTGCTAGGGTTTATGGCCACGTGGACGTGCACATTTTATAGTTTACGAGGGTTAGTTGCCTCGGGGACGCAAGAATCAGCAATTTGAAAGGGTTTGTGGTCTCGAGCAATTTGCGAGTGTTTGTGGCCTCGGGGACGTGCATCTTGTATAATTTGTAAGGGATTCTTCTTCGGGGACGCGAATATTGCGTAACTTTCGGGGGGCTGGGGGCGCGAGCATTGAGCAATTTGAAAAGGTTTGTTGCCTCGGGGGCGCAAGAATTGTATAGATTGGGAGGGTTAATTGCCTCGGGGACGCAAGACTTTGATATTTTGCTAGGGTTTGTGGCCTCGGGGACGCGAGGCGGCAATTTACAGGGGATGGCCCCAGAGGCGCGACTGTAATGTAATTTACGGGAGATCGTGGCCTTGGGGGTACGAATATGGTGTATTTTATGATGGATCGTGGCTTCGGGGACGCGAATGTGGTGCAATTTACAAGGGATCGCTGCCTCGGCAGTGTAATTTACAAGAGGAAAATTGCGTCGGGGGCGCGAATCTCATGTATTTTTACGTGTCCCACGGGCCCGCAGGAATTCAGAGCATGCGATTCGGCGGTGGTAATCGGTTCCTTTTCGGCTCCCCCCCTCGCGCGGACTTCAACAACAGGACTGTATCATTGGATACTGGAAACTGCAACTGGTGCAGGGAGCAGGAACCCTAATCCTCGCAGCCTGATGGCCCCACGAGGGGGCCGGCGGATTTTTGCGAGTAGTGGAACGCGCTTGTCTATCCCTGCTTCCCGCTTCCCCCTCTCCCTCCCTTCTGCCCACCGTCCGCCTGCCCTGGGTCTCTCACGTCCTCTTTTCCATCCTCCAGCCCCGTTCCTCGCTCCCGTTCCTCCCTCCACTCCCCCCCTCCCCATCCTTCGTTCGTCCATCCCTCCCTCCCCCCCTCCCTCCACTCCTCCTGCTCCTCTTCCTGACTCGCTGCCCTTTGTTACGGTTCGGTCGTTGTGATGTTACCGTGCCATGCTCGCCAAACGGCTCGATGGCTGCGTGCTGCAATGTGACCTCACATGCGCGGATGCTACGGTCGATTCACGCTAGAGGCGACGATCGATCTGCGTTGCAGATGCTACGATCGATTCATTGGCAGCCAGTCGGAGCCCTTGGCAGAACATGCGACTTCTGCCAGGTGCACCGGCCTTGTCATCCCGAGCCAGCCCCTAAGCGGGGCATGGGTGTGTAGGGAGTCGATGGGGAAAGCGTATTGCTAGCAGCTAGTGTTTCGACCGTGGAGCGAGTGCGTTCGGGAATTCCTTCAGACGATGATGGAGATGTTGTTGATGATGATGATGATGATGATCGTGATTTTGCTGGTGCTGCTCCTGGTGATGGTCATCATGGTAAGAAGGATCATAAGGATGAGTATCGACTACTGCGATGCTGATGGTGACGATGAGGATGTCGGCGACGATGACGATGTTGTGAGTAGGCGACCGTAGGTAAACGCTCGGGAACTTGTGCCACTTCACCCACTTCCTGCCTCATCTGCACCAACCATCCTCAGACCCAGGTGACCGGCTCAAAATTGAGAATCTTATCTGGCGGCAGACTTGCGCCATTGCTGGCGGCTCCTTCTTCTTTTTCTTCCTTTCTCCCTACCTTGCCTCTCTCCTCCTGCCCCTCACCCCTCACCCCTCACCCCTCTCTCCTCATTCTCCCTCCTTCCTCCTCAATCCTTCACCCCGCTGCCTTCGAAGTGTAATGCGTGCCCTGGCTGTTGCACGAGCAAGTGGCGGGGGACAGGAGGAGGAGCAGGAGGAGGAGGAGGAGGAGGAGGGGGAGGAGGAGGAGGAGAAGGAGGAGGAGGAGGAGGAGGAGGAGGAGGAAGAGGAGGAGGACGATGGAAGAGGATGAGAAGGCAGGGTCTTTCGGGGTTCTCTTGGGGGCTTTGGGGCCATCTTGGGGCCCCTTCAGGCCTTTTTGGGGCCATCGAGGGGCGTCTTGGAGCTATCGTGAGGCCGTCTTGGGCCTTTCTGGAGCCCCCATTGAAGTGTCTTGGAGGCCATACAGGGTGTCCTTGGGGGCGTCTGGGGCTCTTTGGAGCCTAACGAAGGCATTTTTGGCTCTCTGGGAGGTCTCTGGGACTTCTCGGGAACATATTGAGTTGAAAATAGGCAATGTAATGAATGTATGAGGGTATGAAAGCATGTTGTCTTGTTTTTTTTCGAAGGGAAGTAGAGGTGGGGGAGCAGGGGGTTTCATGATGATGCTGATGCTGATGATGCTGATGCTGATACTGATGATGCTGATGCTGATGCTGATGCTGATGCTGCTGCTGATGATGAACAGGATGATGATGACGATGATGATGATGACCATGATGATGATGATGATGATGATGATGCTGATGATGCTGATGCTGATGCTGATGCTGATGATGCTGATGCTGATGATGCTGATGCTGATGCTGCTGCTGATGATGAGCAGGATGATGATGACGATTATGATGATGACCATGATGATGATGATGACGATGATGATGCTGATTATGATGCTGATGATGATGATGACCATGATCATGATGATGATGAGGATGATGAGGATGAGGATGATGATGATGATGATGATGATGATGATGATGATGATGATGATGATGATGAATGATTGATGATGCTGATGATGCTGCTGATGATGATAATGACGACGACGACGATGACGATGCTGATGATGATGATGATGATGCTTATGATGATGATGCTGATGCTGATGATTTTGATGATGATGATGATGATGCTGATGATGATATGATGATGATGATGATGATGATGATGATGATGATGGATGATGATGATGATGATGATGATGATGATGATGATGATGATGATGATGATGATGATGATGATGATGATGAAGATGATGATGATGATGATGATGATGATGATGATGATGATGATAATGATAATGATAATGATGCTGCTGCAGATGATGATGATTATGATGATGCTGATGATGATGCCGATGATGATGATGATGATGGTGGTGGTGGTGATGATGATGGTGGTGCTGGTGGTTGTGGTGGTTGTGATGATGATGCTGCTGCTGATGATGGTGCTGATGGTGGTGCTGAGGGCACTGATGGTGCTGATGGTGCTGATGGTGCTGATGGTGATTGTGATGGTGATGTGATGGTGGTGGTGATGGTGGTGATGATGATTATGATGGTGGTGGTAGCGATGGTTGTGGTGGTGCTTTGTGGTAGTGATGATGATGATGATGATGCTGATGATGATGATGATGATGATGATGATGATGATGATGATGATGATGATGCTGCTGCTGCTGCTGATGATGATGATGATGATGATGATGATGATGATGATGATGATGATGATCAAGGGGAGCCACCATGAGGACCCAAGAAGCCCCCAAGAGACCCCAAGTGGCCCCCGAGAGCCTGGAGGAGGAGGACAAGGAGGAGGAGCAGGAGGAATAGGAGGAGGAAGATGATGAGGAGGAGGAGGAGGTGGAGGAGGAGACTGAGGAGGAGAGAGAGAGAGAGAGAGAGAGAAAGAGAAAGAGAGCAGGAGGAGTACGCGGAGGACTTGGAGGAGTTTTTACGGCCAGTGATCCTCCAGACAACATCATCTAATCTTGCAAAGTGTGTGTGCACGCGATGTCTACAGTCGATCGTTCCTGCCAGGGTATGCGCCTAAACTCGAATGACCTATGCTCGATGGACAGAGCCTGGCGGCGGGTATGGCTAACGTTTGAAGAAACCAGCGATCGGTGCCACATGTGCGTAGCATGCTGCAGCACGGTGCAGTAAGACTTCAAGTCGCCCCAGGGGCGCGGGTGCATCGGTGCAGGCTGACGTCGGCTTGGGTGGCGGGGCAATAGCGACAGGGGGAAGGGGCCTCGCGATAGGAGGGGGGAGGCGATGGGGCAGGATGGCCCGCACGACAGAGAACGTGGTGGGGGAGCAGGGAGCGGCCTGCCTGAAGAGGCTCCCAATCGACCGGGACCAGCCGTCCCCGATCGTCTGCCGATGGGGAGGAAGACGAGGACTACGAGGAAGGGAAAAGCGAGGAGGCATTGGATCATCAACAAAAATAAAAAACAAGACAAAAAATACCACACAAACCAAAATTACTAAACAAAACAATAAGGCCGGTTTCTCGTCCTGAATGAACAGTTTCCTGGCGGCCGGCCCCACATCCCGGCGAGGGCCACCGGAGGCCGAGAGCTGTCCCAAACCCGCCGCTCCACAGCTTTTTCGGAGCGCTGGACCTCTGGGGAGCCTCGCGCCTTCTCGCCGAGCGGTCCCACATCGCCAGGGCCAGGGCCGGGGCCAGGGCCGGGGCCAGGAGGGCCGGGGCCGGGGCCGGGGCCGGGGCCAGGGGTCGGAGCCGGGACCGCTCTCCCGTCCCCCTTCCATCTCCACGGGCGTCGGGCTCGACGGCGGGGGCCCCGTCGACGGCCTGCGACCTGGCAGCGGCGGCCGCGGCCGACGGAGCCGCCGTGGAGAGGAGCGGCCGACCCTCGAGGGTTGGCGCGCGGCAGAGGGCCCCTCGGCGCGCCTTTGCGCCTCGTGGCCGCCGCCGCGAGTTTCGCGAGGCGCCGTGTGTCGTCTGTCGTCTGTCGTCGTCGTCGTCGTCGTCGTCGTCGTCGTCGTCGTTGTCGTCCGTCGTCTGTCGTCTGTCGTCTGTCGTCGTCGTTCCCAGACGCGCTCGCGCCGTGAAAACTCAAGACGAGCAGTGCGTGGCTGAGGTCGGTTTTCCGGTGCGGGGTAATTATGGTTGTTCGTTGGTGCCGTCGCCCCGTGAACCACCCCACCCGCAGTGCTTCATGTTGGGGTGGCGCGCAGCTCTTGGGCGGAGCGCTCTCAGGCAGGAGGCGCCACTCTCGACACATCGGTCGAGGTGACCGTGCTCGACGATGAGTCGCTGCGCCCCCAGATGGCCCAAGAGGCCTACGAGATGACCCCAGAGGGCCCCGAGAAGGCCCAGAGAGGAGCCCCAGAGAGGGCACGCACCGACATTTTGAGTTCGCTCCAAGAAGCCCCCACGAGGCCAGCAGGCCCCCAAGAGGCCCTCAACGTTTCCCAAGAGGCCCCCAAGAGCCCAAGAGGCTGAGGCGGAGGTGCTGTTCGATCCGCCACGCGACCCATCCGCGCCCGGCCCTCACGGCCGGCTCTTCGCCCCGCCCCGCGACCCGCCTGCGACCAGTGCCCGCCGCGCCCTGCGCGCCCCCACCTCTGATCCGCGGCTGCGGGGACCTGCAGTCATGACTGCGAGGAGGACAAGGAGGAGGGTGAGAACGAGGACGAGCAGGACGAGGAGGAGGGTGCGGATGGGGAGGATGCGGAGGATGAGGGAGATGAGGAGGTTGACGAGGACGAGGAGGATGAGAAGGATGAGGGTACGGTTGATGATGATGAGGATGAGGTTGGTGTTGATGGTGATGATGGTGGTGGTGATGATGATGCTGCTGGTGCTGATGATGATGATGATGCTGATTAGGATGATGATACTGCTGATTATGATAATGATGATGATGGTGATGAGACTGTTGATGTTGATGACATTGATTATCATTACGAGGATTCTGATGCCAAGCATGATGATGCTGATGATTATGATGCTGATGCTGTTCTGATGATGAGGATGATGATGCTTATGTTGTTGATGATGATGATGGTGGTGTTGGTGATGATGATGATGATGACGATGATAGTGATGCTGATGACACGATGATGCTGACGATGATGATGCTGATGATTGTTTCGATTAAACTGACGATGATGCTGCTGTTCTGATGAGGATGAGGATTATGATGGTGATGTTGATGTGAATGTTGATGCTGAGGATTACGATGATGATGTTGATGTTGATGATGTGAGTGGTTATGCTTTTTATTTGTGTGCTAATGATGACGAATGATGACGATGCTGATACTGCTGCTGCCATTAGGATGAAGATGAGGATGAGGATGGCGATGCTGCTGATGTTGATGTTTTTGTTATTGTTGTTCTTGATTATTCTGGTGCTGATGATAAGACGACGATGGCGTTGCCGATAACGATGATGACGATGCTGCTGCTGATGATGATGACGATAATGATAGTGCTGCTGCTGCTGCTGATGATGATGATGATGATGAGGATGAGGATGATGATGATGCTGCTGCTGCTGATGATGCTGATGATGATGATGCTGATGATGATGGTGATACTGATGAGGAGGATGAGGATGAGGATGAGGATTGAGGATCAGGATGAGGATGAGGATGAGGATGATAATGTTGCTGATGATGATGTTGCTGCTGGTGATGATGATGCTGATGCTGATGCTGCTGCTGCTGATGATGAGGATGATGAGGATCATGAGGATGATGATGAGGATGATGATGAGGATGATGATGATGATGATGATGATGATGATGATGATGATGGTGATGATGACGATGATCAAGGGGGTCCACCAGGAGGACCAAGCGGAGCCCTTCCCGGCCCGGCAGGGGCGGACATCGAGCCGACCGCGCCGGAGGGGCCCGAGCCGGCCGCGGCGCCGCCGCCAGTGCTGCTCGGCTCCGCGGGAGCGCCACGCTTGGCGCTCCCGGAGGGGCTCGTCCGCGGCGCCACCGTCAAGAACGGCTTCGTCCACATGGCGGACGAGGAACGCGCCCCTCGACTCGGGGGTGGCCGGGGGTGATGACTAGGGGGGGAGGTGAATCTCATGGCGGGGGGCATGATGTTCCCCGGACTTCATGGCGCCTCTTCTCATTTCCGTACGTCCCTGGCCCCCCCCCCCTGGGCCGCGCACATGCCGCCGGCCATGATCTGCGCCCCCCCCTCTTGGACGCCCCCCTCTTGGCCGCCCCCCATCGACGCGGCGCGGGAAAGCATCACGCTGGGACGTTTCGAGCCCTACTGGGGCCCTTCAGGACCCCTTGTGGAGCCCGCATGGGCCTCAAAGGGGCCCTACATGGCCTCTTCAGGGGCCTGTTCTTCCCCCCCCCTCTTTAGGTCCCCCCCCAATGCAATTCGCCCGGCTTTTTCCGCCGTTTTCAGCTCGCTGGGCCTCCGGACCGTGAGACCAGGTCGCCCTGAGGGGCGCGAAGATTTCGCGCTTCGCGCGTCGCGGGCTGGGGGGGCCAACTTTCAGGGAGGGCTCGAGATGTCTGTTCGGGTTCCCCCTCTTGGCTGGAGCCCTCTGGGGAGGCCCCTTGGACCGTCTTAAGGCTCTCTATCTAGGGCCGTTTCAGGGCCGTCCTGGGAGCCTCTTGGGCTGTCTTGGGGCGATCTTGGAGGCCTTTTGGGCCGTCCCAGGCGGTCGGAAGTTTGGGAAGGCGGTAACGCCAAAATCTTTCAAAAACCAAAGCAACATCAATCAATTTTGCCTTTTCGGGCCCTCTTGGTGTCCTCTTGGAGCCCTCCTGTGGCGTCTTGGGCGCCTTTTGGGCCGTCTTGAGGCGCCAGCTTGGGCCATCTTGGAACGCTCTTGGCCTGATGCCGTGGGGCCTGCCACCAATTTGGTGCCTCCTTGGGGCGCTCCTGGGGCGCTCCAGGGACTCTCAGGGCGGCGCCCAGGAGTTCCGGCATCCGTGACCCGGACCTGCTGGGAACCTGCCCGAGTACTTCTCGTCGGGAGATCCCCAGGGGTCGCCACGCGCGCGAAGTAGAAAGATTCAGTACTCAAATTCTTGCCAGAGATTGTAGCACGCCTTTGGCCCGTCGGGCCGGCGAATTATATTTGTTGCCCCTCTATCCTCGCCACGAAGAGGAAGGGATGCTGGAGGAAGCGGGCCCTGGAGGTTTTGGGCGCTCTCGGGCTCCTGGGACCCTCCCTGGGCCCCCGGAGCGTCAGGAAAGGACTCGGGATGAAAGCAGGAGGGGAACAAACACACAGACACAATCAATCGTCGATTCCAAGGAAAATATGGGAAACTATGGGAAGTGGGGGGGAAGACAAAAACTGAGAAAATATGGGAACATATAGGGAATCTTTTTATTTGTGTGTATTTATTTGTGTGTCCTGGGGCCCCTTCATGAAAGCTTGGCTTCGCTTCTGACGGGACCCGTTTCCAGTACGACCCTCTCCTCTCACGGCAAATCTCCCTCGAGGTCGGGTCGTCGTGAGCAAACGTACTCGTGGGCGCCTCGTGCTATCTTCGGACCCTTGGACCCTCGCGGGATCCATCCTGGTTGGGAGATCCCGCATAGGGATGGGGTCGAGGGCTCTGGGCGTGAACGTCTTCTTCCAAGTACGGGAGACACGGTCTGGTCGTGAACGTCGCACGTCGAGGGCTCTGGTCGTGAACGTCGCACGTCGAGGGCTCTGGTCGCGAACGTCGCGAGGATCGTGGGGGGAGAAGGGCGGAGCGTGGAGCTGCCACCGACCATGCCTGGTCGGGCCAGCACGGAACCTGCAGCAGGCCGACCGAGAGTCCCCGTCGACGCAGCTCGCCCGGGGGGAGGCGTCGACCGATCGGAGCCAGGTCGCCAGCTTCATCGCAGCCGGGGGCGCGGGCGCCCCGTCCCCCGCCGAGGAACCGTTCGGACCGCTCGCTCTCGGGCCATCTCGGACCTCCCGGGGGCCGTCTTTGCGGGCTCCTCGTGGGCGGTCTCGAGGCCGTCCCGGAGGCTCTTTTGGCCGTCCCGAGCTGACGGGAGCTCCAGAAGGTGAGAATGCGAAGGCAAGTATTTCTGCGGCTTCGGGCCCTCCTGGTGTTGTGACTGACTCAGGGGGCGCGAACGGGGTTCTGTTACAATAATCAAAGTCCAGAGCAAGTGCGAGGCCAATGTTTTTACATCGTTCAAGTTCAACTTTGTTCTAATCTTAGAGAACTCGGAAATATTTCGGACAAAGTTCGGCGGTGAAGAAGTTCCGAACATCCGGAGTGCTTTTGAACTTTTCTTGTATTCCCGATTCGGTTTCGCATTTCTTCCAAATTTTCCAAACTTCTTCAAGTATTTTTTCCAAACTTTTTCCGTGCTTCGAACTTGTTTCGACATTTTCAAATTTGTCCAAATTCTGTCAGCACATGCACTTTTTTGACCCCCCTGAGCTTTTGAGCTGTGTTCTGGTTTCCGAACTCGAGCTTCTATTTTTTTCACCGCCAGAACTCAAACCCTAACTTTATTTCATCGTTTCCAGGAATGACTGCATGTGACATGTGCCCCTCTCAACCAATCACAACCCTGGTGGTTCTCTTGGAGCCCTCTCGGTAAGTCTCGAGGCCGTGTCGGAGCCATCGTAGGCCGTCCTGGTGGCATTTTGGACTATCTTGGCGGTCTTGGTACGGGCAGGTTCGCGTCGTGTCGACCAGCGGCGACCCCGCCAACGTTGAGCGCCGCCGGCGACCCAGAATCGGTCGTTTGTGAGCGATCAGGCCAACGCCGGTGTCCACACGACACGAGCCCTCCGAGGCTGGCCTGGGCCGCACAGTGGAGAACCACGCCGAGAAACACCTGGCTTGCCTCCAGGGTGCCCTGGGCTTCTTGGGTTTCGATGGTTTTGCGATGGAGAGCCCACACCAAAGGAGGGGTTCCTTGTGGAAGGTTTCTTGTGGTCGAGCTCCTGCTGTGCGGGGCTTCGCCGAACTTGCCCCCACCCCGCGAGGCCCCGCGGCCCTCGAGGCGCCTCCGCAGCTCCCGTGCACGACGCCCCAGCGAGGGGCCGGGTGCCTGTAGCCAGGGCGGCGGCGGAGGAGGAGGAGGAGGAGGAGGAGGAGGAGGAGGAGGAGGAGGAGGAAAAGAGGAAGAGGAGGAGGAGGAGGAGGAGGAGGAGGAGGAGGAGGAGGAGGAGGAGGAGGAGGAGGAGGAGGAAAAAGAGGAAGAGGAGGAGGAGGAGGAGGAGGAGGAGGAGGAGGAGGAGGAGGAGGAGAGGAGGAGGAGGAGGAGGAGGAGGGAGGAGGAGGAGGAGGAGGAGGAGGAGGAGGAGGAGGAGGAGGAGGAGGAGGAGGAGGAGGAGGAGGAGGAGGGAGGAGGAGGAGGAGGAGGAGGAGGAGGGAGGAGGAGGAGGAGGAGGTGGAGGAGGTGGAGGTGGAGGAGGAGGAGGAGGAGGAGGAGAAAGAGCAGGAGGATGATGAGGAGGAGGAGGAGGAGGAGGAGGGGGAGGAAGAGGGGGAGGAGGCATGCGGCGTGGAGGCCGGTCGCCGGCGGCTGTCGGAAGGGGGCCGGCTCTCGGGACAGGGCCGGCGGCGCGCCCAGGGGGGCGGAGGCGAGGAGGAGCAGAGTCTCTGTCGGAGAGCGGCGGGGCTTCTCGGAGGCTCGGGCCAGACGAGAGGGAGGGATAGGGAAAGGGGGGGTTACGAAGTCCGCTGCAGCTGGTTTCGGCCCCGCCGAGGGGCCCATTCCTCGATACATGGGCGCCTCCGGCGCTGGGAGGCGGCGGGAAAGCTTCGTGAGCTGATTCTCACCCTCACTCTTTGTTATCCCCCTTTTTCGCCCGGCCCGAGAGGCTCTCGCGCCTTCGGGAGGTTTGCTGTGCCCTCGGGTGTTGAGGTGGCTGGCCTTCTCCAGCCTCGGAGTCAGGACTTACCCGAGGAGTTCATCAGATAGTCTCAAGACAGTCGTTGCTTCCATGTCTGGCACGGCCTCAAAGCAGTGTCAGAACAGCATCAAAACAGTTGTGAAACGAGTGTCGCATGTTCCTATCACACGAGTGCCCCAGGAAGCCAAGCGTCAGAGTGTTTTGCTTAGACGTTTGTTGTGCCCTCGGTGAAAGCTCAGAGCGCTTCTCAGAAGCTCCGAGGCCTTCCGAGCCTCGTGAGAAGGCCCGTCCCATCTCAATGTCCCCTTGGGGCTCGCCGCTGAGTTTGGCCGCTGGCGACCTGAGGGAGTCTGCTCTCGGGGAAGAGCTTATTCGGTAGCAAGTCACGGGAGCCTTGTGCACCCTTGCAGTTGGGTTTGTAGAGTGCACTAGCGTCGGTGAGCTTCTGGTAATCGATGAGATAGTGCCGATGCAGCGTTCATTTAGCGAATCGATTTGCATGGTATGGGAAGCTCCCATGATTTGCCGAAGACGGCTTCGGGGTGGGGCACCGCGGTCGAGCAGACGGCGGGCCGCGCCTGGCAGGGGCACGCGCAGACACGTGGAGGAGCAGGGGGGCGGCCGCGGAGGGGAACCCGCGGGGGGAGGCCTCGGGCGCAGAGGGTGTGCACCGTGAGGAGCACGCAGGCGGCCTCGGGCACCGCAGGCAGCTGTGCCCCGGGTGGGCGGTCAGTATGTGGTTGCCGATGGCGAGGGGAGCACGCGGGGAGGGGCACTTTTTTGATCCGCGGGTCGAGAGCGCACCTCTTCCGGTCGAAGCTAAGCGGGCCGCGCACAGCTTGAATGAAAGAGAGGGGGGCAGAAGGAGGGGCCTCACATCAAGGCCAGGAGGGGGCAAAGCCCTGGAATGCGGGGAGTGGCACACGCAGCCACTGAGGTCAGTGAGACCAGCATGGTAATTATCACTCAGCCCCGGGGTTGAGTCATCCTGTCCTTTCGCACTGTGATCAGCTCGAAGACGCCTTGCGCAGTTGCCAGATTTTCTCGCTCGGAGGGCGGGCGCAGGCGCCGCGGGGGACTCCACGGTCGGATCCGTCGTCGCCCCCGCGCAGCCGACGGCACACCTGGAGCCAGGCGGGTGCGCGCCCCATTGCGCGGGTCGCGCCGCATCGGGTCCGAGGGGACCGAGCCAGAGCTACATGACACGATGGATCTCAGACCGCGGCCCTTCCCAGTAGCGACTGGCGCGCCCGCGGGCTCCTCCTCCTCCTCCTCATCATTCTCCTTTCGTCATCACCATCATTATCATCCCTCATCATCGTCATCGTCATCACCATCATCGTCTTCATTATCACCATCATCATCACCATCAAACTTATCATCACCACCATCATAACCATCATCTTCATCAACATCATCATCATCATCGTCGTTGTCGTCGTCGTCATCATCATCACCATCATCATCATGATCAGCATCATCATCACCATCATCATTATCATCGTCATCATCATCATCGTCATCATCATCAGCATCATCATCTTCTAGGTGCTCACGTCGGCCCCGCCCGCTGGCGTACGCATGTCTCCAGAGCGGGGGTGCGCAGTGCGGGGTCCTGAGGAGGACGCGCGCCATCACTTCCTGGCATGCTGCGACAGGGCCGAAATGTGGAGCACCATCGACAGCAGCAGCACCATCTCTCAGCGGCGAAGCCTGGTGAGGCGGACGCGACGGACTGTGGCATACACGCAGTGACGCAACAAACCATATCACCATCATCAGCATCATCATCATCATCATCACCATCATCATTATCGTCATCGCCATCGTCATCGTCATCGTCATCGTTCGTCGTCATCATCATCATCCTCATCAACATCATCATCAGCATCCTCGCCAACATCATCAACATCATCATCATCACCATCATTATCATCACCATCATCGTAATCATCATCATCTTCATCATCATCATCATCATCATCATCATCATCATCATTATCATCATCATCATCATCACCATCATCATCATCATCATCATCATCATCATCATCATCATCATCATCATCATCATCATCATCTTCATCTTCATCTTCATCTTCATCTTCATCTTTTCATCTTTATCATCATCTTCATCATCATCACCATGATCATCATCATCATCACCTTTTTTCCCTCCTAACTTCTTATCGCGTGCTCCTGCTGCTCCTCCTGCTCCTCATCTCCCTCTTCCCTCTCCTCCTCTTCCTCCCGCTCCTCCCCCTCTCGAATGGCACGTGCCCAGGCACGCCAGAACCCAGAGGCCCTGCCCTCACTCACCCTCCTTGTCTGAGCTAGGCTTAGACGCTTGTCCGCAGCGGTGGTCGCTCGTTCGCCCGTTGTCCTGTCGGGTCGGACGAGAGGCGGTGATACAGTGGAGACCCATTCTCAGAAACACCCGGCTTGCCTCCAGGGTGCCCTGGGTTCCTTGGGTTCCGATGGTTTTGCGATGGAAAGCATGACGTTCCCACACCAGTGTCAGTGGACGCCCTGGGGTCTCAGGGTTGGGTCTCTTGTGGAAGGCTTCTTGTGGGCTGGCCTCCACTGTCGGGAAAAGGGGGGGGCGGGCGGACGAAGTCTGCGGCGTGCAGCTGGCTCTGGCTCCGCCGTCGAGCGCTCTCCTCGACACACCGGCGCCTCCGCGACGCCGGGAGGCGCCGGGAGAGCCGGCGGCGTGAGCTGACGGTGGTGTTGTGCAGATGCCCTCTGCGTGCACCTGGCCCTCCGGGAGGATGCCTGCGCCGGCTCGCCGTTCGGTGGCAAGGTGAAGTCCAAGACGTGGCAGGCTGCCGACTGCCCTCCCAGTCCCTTCGAGGAGCCCCCCCGCCCCTCTGTGTCTGGGCGGGAGGGGTGGACGAAGAGGAAAACGAAGGTGGAGGTGGATAAGGTCGAAAAGGAAGAGGACTACAAAGATAAGGATGCTTGCTGCTGCTGATGATGATGATGACGATGATGAGGATGAGGATGCGGATGCGGATGCGGATGCGGATGATGATGGTGACGATGATGATGCTGCTGATGATGATGATGCTGACTATGATGATGGCGATGATGATGGCGATGGTGATGGTGATGATGATGGTGCTGATTATGCTAATGATGCTGATAATGACGCTGATGAGGATGATGATCAGGATGATGATAACGGCAGAGACGACGAAGACGACAACGACGACGACGACGGTGGTGACGACGATGATGGTGATGATGACGACGAAGACGACGATGATGATGATTGTGATGCTGATGACGACGATGATAATGCTGATGCCGATGATGGGGCTGATATGGCGAGCGGCTGCTGCTGCTTACGACGATGGTGAGGCTGATGACGACGATGGTGACGATGACGATGACGATGACGACGATGACGACGACGACGACGAGGATGATTATGATGATTATGGTACTTATGATGATTATGACGATGCTGATGATGCTGCCGATGATGATGGTGGTGGTGACTATTACGGCGATGCTGATGCTGATGATGCTGATAATGAGGATGATGACGATCACGATCATGATGCTGATGATGATACTGATTATGATGATGGGGCTTTAGATGGAGCTCCCTATGGGGCCACGAAACGTGTGAAGGGTGCGCCGAAATGGGGCGGGGCCGCCATGCGAACTTTCCCTCTGGGGCCTTAGGTGGAGCTCCCTATGGGGCCACGAGCCGTGTGAGGGGTGCGCCGAAATGGGGCGGGGCCGTCATGCGAACTTCCCCATTGGGGCCTTAGATGGAGTTCCCTTTGGGGCCACGAAACGTGTGAGGGGTGTGCCGAAATGAGGCGGGGGCGTCATGCGAACTTTCCCACTGGGGCCTTAGATGGAGCTCCCTATGGGGCCACGATACGAGTGAGGGCTGTGCCGAAATGGGACGGGGCCGCCATGCGAACTTTCTCATTGGGGCCTTAGGCGGAGCTCCCTATGGGGCCACGAAACGTGTGAGGGCTGTGCCGAAATGAGGCGGGGCCGCCATGCGAACTTTCCCACTGGGGC